TCAGGCTAAGCATATAAAGCGGGGGGAAGAAGAAGGAAGGGGGGGACGTTCGGAGTGATGGCGTTTGTCTTCCCAAGTCACCGTTACGCATGATGGAGCCCTGCTTTCCTGGAGATGGCTGAACGATGGGAAGCAGTGACTGAATTCCTTGTTTTGCTTTGCTTGCGTGCACGGCTTTACTCTCCCTATTAAACTGTCTTTACTTCAACCCACAAGTTTTCTCACTTTTACTCTTCTGATTCTCTCCCCCATCCCACTGGGGGGAGTGAGCGAGCCACTGTGTGGGGCTTAGTTGCCGGCTACGGTTAAACCATGACACCCATAAATCGGGAAACTATCCACAGCAAAGTGAAATCCCATCTTTTCCACTGTAGTTGGATAGTAAGTAATGTAGCTTTTTTAACTAGCAATTTAATTACTCAAAAATGTAATGCTTGCTTCATGCCAATATTATTTTCAGAGCAAGCCAGAAAAATACTAGGAATGGCAAAAATAGCTACAGGATTTTTTAAAAAATATGTAATTATTTTATTCTAATATTGGGTGAAGACCCTCCTCAACTCGACCTAGTAGAGGCTAGCTAAAGAACAACTTCCATCAGCATTAGAGAAAACACTGGTACACATTCAAGATGAGCACAACTCTTATTCTAACCAGAGTTGAGGCATTAGCCTCATCTTTGTACATGTGTATTATACATTTTGAAGAATGCTTTTACTTCAGCTCACAAAAATTTGATTTACAGTCTCTAGGCATCAGATGACGATGATCTTCGTTCTAGTCCTGTTTGCCTTCCCGCCACTGTCGAGAACCTTCATTCCACGCTACGTATACAAAGAGAGCAAGTACCACATGAACAGTAACTACAGCAACTATGGCAGCATAAAAATAGCTGTCTCTGTCGGACATTCCTAAGGTACCTGAGAAAATAAAGAAAGTAAAGAATATTAGTTATTAGGAACACTGAAACGGCAAATCACAATTCTTCCTAAAGACCAAAGTTACATTTACTCCTGTATCAAAAGACTGAGCTCAGAAAGATTCATAGGAAAGAATTCACCATGATAATTACAGACCTTGAAACTATTTCAATAAAGCAACACTGCAATTATTCAATATTTAAGATAAAATATCCTAGTTTTGAAGTCAACAGCTTAGAGTTCTATAACATTCACTTTTTCTGTTACTATCTTCCAGCACCAAATAAACCTCAACATCCTTTTTTCCTAACTGTAACTCTCTCTGTGGGGCAGGAAAATGGGGGGGGAGGGGGATAATTATATAATTTATTTGCCGCTATAACATGGTAAAATGGTAGAACAACAATTAAATTTAGAGGACTTCTACCTTCTATATTTAGACCATAAAACCATAATTCCTCACCAGTTAAGATACATAAATGCATCGCACATGAAATAAGCCTTCAAATATCAGAAGACCAAATACCAAAATATCGTTTCTCTTCATTCATTTAAAAAAAAAAAAAAAACCAAAACCCAACCAAACAGAAAAACACGCATCACACCACACCAAAAATACCACCCTCCAAACACAAACTGAATTCTATCAGCATTGACAGATCTTGCCATTAACTGACACAGCAAAGTTAAGGCCCAGCTTGCTACACCTCAGGTGAAAAAAAGAAAAAAACATGCCAAAAAGGATCTTGAAAGTTACTTAACAAGACTTCAGCCTTCAGAACTACATACAGCAGTATGCACCAAAGGAGAATCATCTTGAAACAACTCAGTTATATATTCACAAACTGCTCTCAAAAGCAGCTGCTTTCTCCCTCCCCTCCTCCCCACTTTTGAAGGAGATAATTTTCTCCTGCAGTATTAGGAAGTTATTAAAGCCTTGCAGAATCAAGGCTAGAACATGGTTGTTAGCAGTTTGACAGAACTGCTCCAAACAAACAGCTAAAGTATCTCTTCCTTTCTTCTCCCCCTCCCCCCCCCCCCCCTTTTTTTTTTTAATTAAAAGAAAGCTCTACAAGCAACCACATCCAATATCTGAAACTGGCTATGTGACTTAACTGGTTTACACTTACAAATGCAGATATGTTTTAAAAAGCAAAATATAAACCCAGTAAACAACATTATTCTGTCTTGAATACACAATTCGTTTGCAACACCTGCAGGAAACATATCCCTGATGATTCTGACAAAAGTCTGCTGCAGGGTGGTGTTAGAGACCCTTTAGGTAAGGGGAACAATCCACCTGTATACTATATAAACCACTGTATAACAAACGGCAAATATTAGATTGCAGGCCCCAAAGCAGGGAAATTATGCATTTGCATAATTTTCTGTTCTAATTAGACATTACAAGGCCTTTAGTCTGCATAAGGAAACAAATATTCAAAACAGGAAGGAGAACAAAGATGCTATTAGAGGATTGTGCTTTTCCTCTTTCTTGTAATAGTAACGCTAGTTGGCAGAAACAGAATTACCTTCAAATACATAAGCCTTTGATGAAAAATACAGCCCAACAGGTAATGTGATCATTAGAGCTGTGAAGAATAGAAGTGTTCTTAAAGTTGATGTTAATGAACCCTCATTTCTGAAATAAATAAGAAAAGTTACACACAGAAGAAAGTCACAATATATATGCCTGAAACAGGACAAGAACTTGTCCCAAACAGAAGCCAATTACTTTTCAAGAATTGAGTATGTGTATCATTTGGAAGCGATAAAGACTTGGAGTATGCATTTGCTGGCTGCAATACAAAAATCACAGTATTCAAAACGATGTGATGATTCTGCCAGTCAAAGCTCACAAACAAGATTAAAAACAGTCTTTAGATCTTTTCCCTGTTACTGCTTTGCAAGCATTAACAACATAGGGGGTTTACATTAACATGTCTATCACTGTATTATTACATAATTATTAACTATCTAATATTAGATACAGATGCACTTGTCATATGACAGTATTTTGCATTAAAACTTGCCAAGTTCCCTCTTTTATTTTTAGAAAAAATAACTACAAGTCTAGGAAAATGACAAATCCTACAGGCTAGGATACAGAAGGAAGTACGCAGAATGACTTTAACAGCTTACTATCAGAAGTGAAGTTCCTTTTTGTTAGGTATTGTTCCTCTATTTAAAATAATTTCTCAGTTTCCACTGAGAAAGTTGGGATAACCGTAGCAATAATCAGAACACGGAGCCAATACACCAAAACGTTACTATCTTTTTTTGCCTAAACCTAAAAGACCTTGAGCAAGAGAATCACAATGAAGGATTATGTACTTGGTAAGGTCTCCCTGAACTTGTTCTCCTAGAACAGGTTTTGTATCTACAAAACACCACATACAGCTTGTTTTTGTGTGTGCTTCCACCAGTTTTTACTCACTCTGCTTGGCTGACTACATAATTTTATGCTGAAGTAAACATGTAAGCCAAGCAATACCCTTCTGACTTTCAAAGACTACCAGATTCAATGGCATGTGTCCTTAAGGCTTTGAAAAACAAATATGCATAAAACCCAATTCCAGTCAGGGATACATAATTCTTAAAACTCCCAGACACCTCCACAGCAATTTTTGTACACGTAGTTTCAAAAAGTTTTATCAAGACATATTTGTGCCATGGTATATTGCTTGAAATCACATTTTACCTTTCACGTTTCTTTGGAAAAATAAGTGGAAGTGGGGGAAAAAAAAAAATCTCATCCTCTGACAGTCATCAAAAGACAGTGATGTGCAGCCACACACAGCTTTTACGCCAACAGCACTTTTTGCTGATCATGTATTGCCATAGATTTAGGTAGCACATTAAGCAGCCTAAAAACCCAGACATTTGGAATCTTTTCCTTTACTAGAGTTTGTCTCAAGGTCTGTCAGAGTGGAAAGCATAACCCCATTCAAACTTTCCCTATGGAAATTGGAAACTGTTCTCTATTTAACACCTACCCATAGAAGAACATGATGACCTCCAGCTTACTACCAAATTTAAAAACTCCACTGTTGACCAATACTTTTCTTACACTGACATACTTTCATCACTTCCCTACGCAGCAAAAACAAATATTCGTGTATACCCTCGGCCCTGACACGGAGCTTTTAGCCGCAGACCAGCCTCCACGATCGGGTTTCGGGGGTGCCCAGGGTTACGCAGGACGGCCAAGGCAAACCCGGGGCTTCCTCCACC